CTACTCCATAAGCAATACTTTCAAATACTTTAAGGTGAGAAACGATCGATTTTTTATTGTTCCATGCCTCTTGTGGTGTTACATTATCTAACTTTGCATGTGAACGTCTATTATGTACATAGATGACACACTGTACTACTTTTGCCTATACTTCCTTTAACATATTCTTGGTCTTCAATATTGATCGAACCATATAAAGAACAATTCAATTTTTTCTCTTAATCACACCATTTTGTTGTGGTGAGTACGAAGTTGTCAAAAATCTTCTTATACCTTCATCTTCACAATATTTCGTGTAGGTTGTCAATATAAACTTTTCACTTCTATCAGATTGGATTGACATAATATGTCTCCAGTCGTCTTTTTCTACCATTATCTTAAACTTTTTGAACAACTCAAACACCTTAAATTTCTCACTTAGAAAATATACCCATGTTAATTGTCAACAAAAGTCATAAAATACTTCTTTATACTGAATGATTTAGGGATAATCAATGCATGTAGATTGATATGAATCCATCCAAGTAGTTCATTTGCTTTGTACTTGACAGTTTTCTAAAATGGGATCCTAGTCTGTTTATCGAACACACATTCTTCACAAAATCTCCCCTCACACTTCATGTTCAACAATCCAAGTACCATGCTCTTCTTTTAGAGTTCGACCAGACCACCAAAATTTAAATGACCAAATCGATGATGCCACATCAAAACTTTAAATGACCAAATCGATGATGCCACATAAAAAACTATGTTCCTTACTTTCAGCTTTAGACATCTCTCCCAAATGCTTTTCAACTGCAACTTATACATTCTATTCTTCTCCATCTTAACTTGGACGATCAACCTCTTGAACTTATCCTTTAATTGAATTCCTTGATCTTTCATGAATATTGAATATCTTCTCTCCATCAATTGTCACATACTAAAAATATTACTTTTGAGATTAAGACCATAGTACATATCTTGAATTGACCCGACTAGGCCATCCTTCTGCAAGTAGTGGATTGTACCTCGATCTTTTATTGAGACTTTTTAGACATCTCTAAACGACACACTTTCAGTCTTTATCTTCTTTAGTTCTTCAAAGAGATGCTCATCCTCACAAATATGGTTACATACACCCGTATTCAGATATCATACCGAGTTGTGATTTGTATATTCTCGAACTTCATTACTACTATTTGCCAAGTTAACATCGATCATTAGAATTATTGTTTCTACGTTCTCTATGAGATAGGTTTCTTTCACTTTTTCTCAGCTTAACATTCTTTTCCAAAATGTTCAATCTTACCACAATTGTAACACTTGTCTAAGTAACAATATTTTATATAGTATCCATATTTGACACACTTCAAAAAATCAATATTATAGGTATATTATCGACTTCTTCTCTAACCACATCATTTACCATGCCAATTTTGTTAGTTTCCTTCTGTTTTTTCACGACCTCTACCACATCGACCTCGACCATTACCACGTTCTCTATCTCAAGTATTTTGAAAATAAATAATTTTCTCTTCTTTCACAATTGTCTCACTCTAGAACACTTAAATTGTTGCCTCCTCTTTATTTTTCTTCTTTCAATACTCATGGGTTTCAAGAGAATCAACAAGTTCTTGTACCATAAGTTCAAATGGGTCATTTGATTCCTTTATCGTGCATATTACATTCTCAAAGTCATCGGTTAACGACCTCAAGATATTTTCCACAATACGGACTTTAAAAATCGTCTCTCCATTCCGATTAAGTCATGATTTCAATACGCATGATGTACACAAACTCTTTTTGGCTCCTTCTTTCTCATGTGTTCCATCTCATCACATAATGTTTGTAGTCGAACTCGTTTGACTCGATTATCATCCTTGTATCCTCTCTCTAATGCATTCCACTCTTCTTTTGAAATTTTAACACTTGCTATCTTTTCAAAGTTGGATTCATCAACTATCATTCTCATATTTCTCTTTCAATGCTTTGTTTACAGTTGTTAAAATTCCTTTAGTGTTTTCTGATTCTTCAAAATCATCATTCATTATCTCTCAAATTATCTTAAGATCCAATAAAGGCTTTTATTTGAAGACTTCAATTGTCATAGTTGATTGTTTTTGTTAAACGAGATAGGACTATATTATTTGCTAAACTGACCATCGTTTTTTTCAAGCTCTTTCACACTTAAACCTTAGCTCTAATACCAATTTGATAACAAAAAATTTGTTGAAAACGGTAGTTTATTATATGAAATAAGAATTATATTTGAGTATTTAAACTGTTTGCTAAACTGACAATCACTTTCTTCAAGTTCTCTCACACTCAAACTCTTAAACACTTAATCCCTTGCTCCGATACCAATTCGATAAATTTTTTTTTGTTGAGAATGATATATTATTGATTTTTGTTATACAAAATAAGAATTGCATTTGAGTATTTAAATATTGCAACTTTGCCTTTCTTATGCCCTAGCAATAATTACTTAAAATCATAATAATAATTATCTCTAATAATAACATTATTTCTTCAAAATATTTGCTAAATTAAAATATTTCGACTAATATTTAAATTTGTTATTTTTCATTTTATTTTATCAAAGAAAACAGTATATATTATGATATATTATGAGTGGGAGCAACCAAACTTGGTACGATGGTATATGAAAATATGAGACTGGTGGTTGAATCATGGAAAAATGAATTAACATTTGTTTACTCATCATAATAAGATTTGAATTAAGATGACGTAATTTTGAGTATAAAATAAATTACCTTAGAAGGAGAAAATATTATTTTTAACAATAAATAGTGTCATAATTAAAAAATATAGGTTAGAATGATACAAAATAATAAAGAAGAAATAACATTCAAATATGTACGAGGTCAAACATGTATCGTCATTTATAATTTTTATATATATATTATTTAATTTTTTATTTTTACACAATGTTTATTATGCTTCATATTTAAATTTTAACAATTTTTTTTAAGTGAGTGTCTTTTCACGTTGATATACTCTTCCTCTTCTCCTAATATTTGTTAATGATGATTTTTTATATTTTTTGCTATTTATTATTATGAAAACACTTTTATAAAACTTTTATTAGGAAAACTTTTGAAACATATTATTTACAAACTTAGGATCATTTAACCATTTTGTGTTATATTTATCCTATCTGAATTAATCTTCAAAACGAATCATTTAATCTGATGGAAAATGTTGTATTGACAACTGGTATATTCATTAGACAACTAAACATGTTAATCTAATAATATTTAATATAATATTAATATTTTTATTGTATATGAAATGTTTGGGGTGTCAAAATATCACTCCTCTAATCTGATATCACGACATTAAGAGAAGATAAATATGAGAGATATTAATCCACGAGTCACATAAAAATGAATACAGCAGTGTAAGGAATGTTCATAATGTGCAATTACAAAATCGTTGAAGAAATGAAAAACGAGATAAACAGAGAAGGGAGTTGCTAGTTTGATGGAAAAGGTGATGGTGAGAAGTTAGGAGGCACTGATACATAGAAAAATATGAAAATCGGTACTTTTGGTGGGGAATGGTCAAAAGTTTGAGTAACGGTAAGAGGTGAAAGTGAAAAGGAAAGATAGGCACAGCATGGCAATGACTGTATATGATCTTCCCATAGTGGGGAGCAGCCAGACCATTCACATGGACCACAAAATTACATGATATTTTCTGTCCCTTTTCCATTTTAATTTGTATGAAAATCGGTTTACGGGGGGATGGCATTTCAAAATATTAGGGCAACTACTTTTGGAGATGAAATTTGTAAAAAATTGTCATAGAAATGGGTTACATTGGAGAAATGAAGAAATTGAGATGTTACATTATATCTTATAATGGCGATGATTAGAAATAGTGAGCAAAATTAGTGATATGTCTTGTTTAAGTTTTTTAAGATGAGTTCCAAAACTTGCAGGGATTTAATAAGATGATAATAAATATGCATCTGACATAGACAATTGTGTTGTGTGTAACAGGAAAAATGTCCAAAACCCTAATGAAGACCTATCAAGTGGTGAAGATTATAGGACCAATGACATCCCAGTTGAAAATGCTCCAAGAGAGCAAGATTCATCCACTCTTTCATGTCTCCCTCTTGAAGAAAGTGTTAGCTACCTCAGTTACTTCACAATCACTGCCTAGCGTGTTAACAGAGGACCTAGAGTTACAAGTTGAACCAGTAGCGGTGGTTGCAGCCCGAAACGGCTCCTCTAGAATATCTGAAGTGTTGATTCAATGTCAAGATTACCACCCTTTGAAGCCAAGTGGGATCAGGAGATGCAATCAAAGAACACTTTCCACATTTTCACCTTGAGAACAAGGTGTTGGGGGTGTATTGTTGGTCATAGACCTCCCATTAAGTGGACCATAGAAGGAAGAAGAAGCCCAGTAATACAATTGAGTTGAGGCTGTAGCTTAGAATTTGTTCAAGTGATAAATAGGAAGATAGAAGGGTGAAATTAATCTGTCGGTAATTGGTTGGGAGAGAATAGGCTCAAACTCCTAGCGATCTTGTACTCTTTCTTTTTTGTATTTCTGTCCCATTGTTCTTTCATCTCTGTCTGGGAACATTTCCCTGGAGATCATCATCAATAAATTGACTATCTTTCAGCAATCTTTATATAGATAAAATCAATTCTATCATGTAATTTCATAAATTCTCAGAGGTGGTTCGTGTAATATACTTTAAAATTGTTAAAAATAACAAGCCACTATTGCAAACACAAACAGAAAGGAGAAGAAAATTGATTTCAAGTTCACAAGTAAATAGACCATTTTAGTATTTGGATTAAACAACGTAATATAGGCGACAGTGCTAATCACAATCCATGGACCTAACTTGACAAACCTCTGAATGTCATTTCAGTTTCAGGTAAATCAAAGTGTTGCAGTATCTACATAAAGGCCTTATTCATATGATAAAACAGAAAAGGAAAACGATATATGAACAGATGAGAATGCCAGTTTCATCAGCCTCTCCAGTTGTCTTTCTGCTTTCTTATCTCTGCTAATGCTTCAACAGGTGATTTGCATCCCACCTTCTCCTGAAAATGTTCACAGTTTAAGAAAAGCTTGAGGTTCAACCTTCGTCCCACGTTATTTTTTATCCAAGAAAAGAATATGAAAAAATGCACAAATAAGAGCTTATTTTCTATTTAAACATGTGAGAATGCCAGTTTGATTATAGAAAGCACCAATAAACTCATTAAAGCTTTTCTGATTATATAATATATATTTCATTCTGCCCTCTAATCTAGGAAATCAGATATTTGTTTCACACATTTGCAGAGGGGGTGGAGAGGTAACAAACCTGGATCTTAGGTAGATCAACCCTCATGAAGGGATTGGTCTCCAACTCATCCTCAATGGTTGAGGGAATTGTTGCTTGGCCAGCTTGTCTCTGATTCTGAGCCCAGGTTAATTTCTGTTGTGTCCTCAAATTGTCTGGCTCAAGTGTCAGAGCAAATTGCAAGTTCTTCACTGAGTACTGGAGAAAAAACAACTTCAAACTCTTGCAAGTGATTAATATTAGGTGAAAAACAGCATATAAGAAATTAGCCCCTAAGAATTTAGGCTTTTATAGGTCAAAAGTAAAACAGTCTAAAATTCTCCTTCTTCATCATGCTCGTTCTCTCCGCTATGCCTCAAAGTTGCAATTTTTACTTAATGTAAGTCATAAGTTTTGCAAGATAATGAAGTGCACAAACAATTCCAAACAAATGAGTTCTTATGAGAAGTCACAACGGATTATCTAAGCAACCCACTTCACAAATCATAACTTTACATCTGAGCAGCTGAATCTTAAATATTTAAAAACAAATTATATTTTATTTTCAGAATAAACTAGAATTGCGTTCTAAGAAATGAAGGATTTCTTGATTTGCTTGCTCAAGGGTTACTGTGGCAGAATGATAGCTCCTAACCAAAATATAAGTTTTCAATCTAGGTAGGCACTTTAATGGACAAACACAGATTGAAGCATGACAAAAGGTTTAATGACCTAACTTCAGCACAAATTTTTTTACAAGACTTGAATATATTTTGTTTCAACTTCTTATTCCATTATACTCATATCAGGTTGACCGCTATGTGCCGCAGATTGGAATGCAAATTTTAATCTTGCTTGCATTTCCCATACTATACAGTTTTTACATAATATTAACATCGGTAAACTGGACTAAGAAGATTAGTCTGGACTATTTACAACTTTTTAAGTATTTGCATCATTTCCCAACCCCCTTTCTCCATTGATCAGATTAGAAATATTGACCGGATAAAATCATGCATGAACTAACTGTTTAAGAGTTTTGTGGATAAATCCCGTCCATCATTTAAATTATATGAAGATCGATCATCAATGGCACTACCTACATAAAAAAAAAAAAAATTGACACTCCTCTTAATAATTTTTTCAGTATGGATAGTGACTTCAGTATGATTTACCTCATGGCCACAGTATACTCGAGTTGTCTTTGGTAATGAACCAAGTGTTACATTGAGCGACTGATACATCTGTTCGGCAGTCCCCTCAAAAAATTTCCCACAGCTAGCAATAAACTGTAAACCAGTAATAAGACAACAAATCTAGAAATTTAAAAGAAGATGGTCTTCAAAATTCATATACATGAAAGTTTTAGGGGAGAGAGTCAAATGCAAGTCACATACCTTGACTTCAAGCACTTGCACGGCTTTAATAATAAGTTTATTATATGCTTTCCAACTAGCTACTTTTTTTTTTGGATATGAAAAAGATTGATCAGTCATCTTACCAATGTATCTCCAGTAAAAACAGCCGGATGCTCATCCTCTTTGCCAGTAACATAGTAACTTATGTGGCCTTGTGTGTGACTGAGCAAGTTACAAATATAACTTCTGTTAGTAAAAGAGGTAAGTATGTCTGGAGAAAGGGAGAAACGACCTTCAATCGCTACAGCAAACAACAAGAAAACAAAGAATGACAAATATCAACAACTGATCATGCAGCAATAAAATTAACAAAAAAAATGAATGAGAATGCTCATGAAGCATGGCAATGACTTCTTTGTATATTTGCACACAATTTGGCACATCCACTTTTTTAATCATCAGATAAGCAGGATTAAAACCCTCTATCAGGGGATGAGAACATTTGGAAAAAGTTCAGCAAGCATTACACAATTGATTCTTCAATGCAGATTTTTCTGGCAAGAGATATACATAACAAAAAGTTAGAGCTGTGGTTGTCAAAGACTATAGCACAATATTCACCCTGACCTGGTAGACGTTCTTGACATTCAAACATTATGCGTGGTACTGACTACTAAGGAAGTTTATGACTTGTTCAAACCTGTTCCAGTTAGATTATAGGTAATCTAATTTTATGTAACAATCATAAAGCTAAGGAGGGGAACCATCCCTCAAAAGCAGCCCAAGAGGTTGGAGAACCTCCCACCTTATAAGACCTCCCCGACGTGGGACTTATTACAATACCACCCCCTTCCCGTCAGAACCCTCCGTAGGTAGCCCTTTGAAAGCCAACGTCTTGCACTCCTCGGTACTTCACTCGGCCTTTTTATCGATCAAAACCCTCTATAGGTAACCCTTCTCAAGTTGGCTCATTCTCAATGAAAGTACCAATGTAACAATCATAAAACTAAGGAGGGGGTCATCCTCAAAAGTCGGCCCAAGAGGTTGAACAACCTCCCATCTTATAAGGGACCTTATAAGGCCTCCTCCCACCTTATAAGGGACCTTATAAAGCCTCCTGGTATGGAGACTTCCCCGATGGTGGGCTTGTTACATTTTAACTAGTTCGAGAAGCTTGACTCATTTTACCTTTTCATTTTCTTTTCTTGAGAAATTCATCCAAATATGGCCAAACAGTTACTGTGACAACCCATTCTCTATAATGTAGTGCACAACACTTGAATTAGCAATAACAATCGCATAGCATACCAAGGTGTGTGAAGGGCCAATATAGTGACGTCAGCTCCGAGAGAGACCTTATCACCGTTTTCAACCTTGTTAGTGCAACCCTTCACGTTATCAATTGAACCACCATAGACCTTGATTCCAGGCACCAGTTGTTTTATCTTCTCGTTTCCACCAGCATGATCCCTGTCGCACAATAATAATCGGTGAAAACAAAACACCATAGGGAACACGTCAAACAAAGGATAAAAACATCATATTACACCATACCAGTGATGGTGGGTGGTGAGGACGAGTTTGAGAGTGAGGCCACGCGAGTTGACGGCTTCGAGAATCTTCTCCGGCTCGACGGGGTCCACCGCCGCCGCTTCCTTCGTGCTCTCATCCACGATCCTGCACCACACAGATTCGTTCAGCAAAATCCAGGACACAAATAATTGTTTGAACGTTAGATTAGATTCATACAGATACGCATAATTGTCTTCGAGACATGGTATGTGTTGGATTTTCATCTTTTCCTTTCCGATTCAAACACTCTTCACAAACCCACTTTCCTTATCGGATATCTAGCGGTGACGGTGTTAAAACTGGAATGAAATTTTTATTTGTATGTTTACTACATATACTCTATGATAAAATTAATGAAATTCAATTTTATCTCGTTTATTCGTTTTACTCTTGGTAACCACGTTTGTGTTAAAGGAGATAACGACAACGATGTAGAATCAATAGCTAAATCAGTATTTTAAATTTTTTTAACATAAGATTTATGGTTGATATCAAGAAAATTATATTAACCAAAATGTTTTAAAATATTTTTATATAAAGCTTTAAAACTCTCAAATTATATTAAAACACAATAAAAAAATAGCAGCATTTCAATCTCTCTTCCAATGTTTATTTTAATTGTTTAATTTTAAAAACATCTTTTCCTTTTGTTTTCTATCGTTTCATCATTTATACTTTAACAATATGATTTTGTACTCTTAACCAATCACAAATCATATCATAAATATTTTTTAAGTTAAATACTGTAAAATAGTAAAATTATCATATTAATTATTACAATAAACTTAAACGATAATATATATATACCAAGAACAATTTAAACTGTGCAAGGGAAAACATTAAAAAAAAAACCAACATTTTTCTAACCCATCATTTAACACTCACTTTTACACAGTAGACTGAAGAAGCTCCTCATTATGCATTTTTTTAGTTTTAGACTGCGTAATTCTGGCATGCTTCATCTTTTAAATTTAAATCTAATAAATAAAATGTTCTGCTTTATCAAAATATAATAAAATGTTTTGCCATTTGAAAAAAATAAAAATTTATCACTTTACAAAGATAACTGGACCCGATAGAACAATTTGGGCCCAAACAAAACCCGGCTCATAAACAGGCAAAAGCCCTAAGCAACTGCCTCTATATAAACGACTCTTTCTAGGGTTGGATAGATTTTGCGGAGACAGCCTTAACCCTAACGCGTTTGGAGCAGAGACGCAGCCATGGGGAGGAGTAAGCTCTAACCTCCATTTCCTTCATGCTAAATTTCGATTATTTGTTTCAATTTCGTATCTCCTACGTTGTAGCTCGCTATTGATTTATAGAGTTCTTAGATGCATCTATGGTCTTTATGTTCTCGAAAACTTTTTCCTCTTATTATTTGAATTAGACTTTATTTCGGGAAATGAGTGGTTATATATGATTTATTTAACGTGGTTGTTGTGATTAATGTTGATTAAAATTTGATGTAGATGATTGTTCTATTAATTTTACTTTCTTCATTGTAAGAGTCATTTTGCGTTGTGCTCGATGCTATGTTTTAAGTTGAAATTTTATACGACTCATGTTTGGGAATGAACTGGTTCAGATTATATATGTTATATTCGTTGTTGTGGATTTTCTTGTATTAATCTTTAGTTCGAATTATGTTTTACCGTCTGAAATTACAATTGTAATATTAAGTTTTGAAATGAACTAGTCTGGATTTTGTGTGTAGTTGATGTGATTGTAACTATGAATGGTGTTTGATTTAGGACCTGCAAGGTGTTATAGGCAAATAAAAAACAAGCCATACCCCAAGTCACGTTTCTGTCGTGGTGTTCCCGATCCCAAGATCAGAATTTATGATGTTGGCATGAAGAAGAAAGGTGTGGATGAGTTTCCTTTCTGTGTCCATCTTGTTAGTTGGGAGAAGGAAAATGTGTCAAGTGAGGCGCTTGAAGCTGCCCGTATTGCTTGCAACAAGTACATGGCAAAGTTCGCTGGAAAGGATGCTTTCCATTTGAGAGTCAGGGTACACCCATTCCATGTTCTTAGAATCAACAAGATGCTTTCATGTGCTGGAGCTGATAGGCTCCAAACTGGAATGAGAGGTGCATTTGGAAAGCCACAGGGTACTTGTGCTAGAGTGGCAATTGGTCAAGTCCTCCTTTCTGTCCGTTGCAAGGACAGCAACAGCCATCATGCACAGGAGGCTCTTCGTCGTGCCAAGTTCAAGTTCCCTGGTCGTCAAAAGATTATTGTTAGCAGGAAATGGTATGTATTTATTCTATTGTCAGATGTTGCCTATGCATATGGAAATGAGTAATTTTCCACGTTTAGTTACACAAGCTTATTTACATTTTTGTCTAATTTTTGTTTATTATTGTTTGAATGCTTGCTCAGGGGCTTCACCAAGTTTAGCCGTTCTGATTATATCAAGTTCAAGTCAGATAACAGAATTGTGCCAGATGGTGTTAATGCTAAGGTAATGTAAATGAATTGTGTTGCGCAATTGAAACTTTATGTTATGTTTCTGCTATCTATGGCTAATCAAGACTTGTAAGCAGTAAGCCTTGATTGCACAAAAGCACTTTTCTATATGAAATATTAGCCTTTTTTATTCACTAAGTACTTTATCTAGTTATTGTAATTGTATGTAATTAGGCTCATAACAATTTCTGTTTTGTGGTCTTGTAGCTTCTTGGGTGCCATGGACCATTGGCCAACCGCCAACCTGGAAGAGCTTTTCTGGACAGTGCTACTGCTTAAGTTTCTGTTATATTAAGTGTTAGAGAATGGATCACATTAGTTTTGCAAGATTTTCAATGTGTTTGTTATTTTGTCCGTACATTCCATTAAACTAAGTTGAGTTCATTTTTGTTTTTGCAAACCTCTTATATTGGGTTATTTTAATGCTAAATTTTGTTATATGATAGTCTGTCTCATTTTATCTGATAATGCTCGATCTTCCGTCAGCTAATTGGGTCACGGACGGGAACGCCTTGCCGTAATTTAAATGGTGCTTAGTATAAGTTGTATACTGTTCTGTATGACGTGCTGTTGCATAGCTGCTTAACATTCCAGAGTAGCGAATTCTAGCTTCCTCTTGCGCCAGATGGTGTGTCTCTTGGTGAGACTGGGTCATGTCATGTCGTGCAATGTGTGAAGCCTTTCGATTTCCTACATATAACACAAATCAATGTTCGTTGTTGAAAGCATAATTTCTTACTGCAACCTCCCAATTCACTTTTAACCATTCCTCATCAATGATGGTTTTGAAGAAAGACTAACGATATATTGTGAACCATGTTCTACCAAGTGGTCATCTAACTTTTTTTTTCTTCAGATTTTTATATTATTATTTATTTTATTTTATTAATTCATAAAAAAATGTTATTTTAAGGGTGTATATTGGATATTTGGAAATTATTAGTTGCCAAATTTTTTTTAATATGTTTTTTAATTAATTGATGAAAAAAAGATAAATAAATAATAATATAAGAATTTAAGTAAAATTGTTTTATGGATTTTTGGTAAAAGGTGAATGTAAAAATATCAAAGAAAATAGTTATCTCTGATAGCCTTCCTCTCCGTCTTTCTATGACAAATTATAATAAGCGTAGTATTATAATGTGAACGATGTCTTCTCTGTGATATTTGGAGCAAATTATCAATTTTCTATTTCTTATTTTTAATCAAGACATTCAATATTATATAATTATCATCAGTTTCTCCTCAGTTCTACTCTAATTTTACTTTCTATCATCTAATTCTTTTCTACCATCACTCACACATTATATTTTATATTCTTATTATATAATTTTTCTTTCTATGCAAAATTTTGTAATTCTATTTTTTTTTTCTTTTCCACAATCTAACAAAACAGCTCAATGTTCACAAAGGCTATATTTTGTTTTCTATAACTCAATTCAATTAAAATAAAATGATGACACTCCTCATTTATATAATCAATTCTACCTACATTTAGTATCATGAAATCTAACATTTTAGAAACGTTCTTTTAAGATAAAAGGGCATTACAAAATTTATTAGTACATTTAATCTTTTTAATGTGAATTTGAAAAAATTATAATATATTATTTTTAAGTTAAATCAAAGTTTAATCAAAATAACTGATAAAACATCTGTGTACCATAGGAAGAAAAAATTAGTCTTTTTCAACTAATTAATTTCGTCGCTAAGTAATTTTATCTTTTAAAGATTATCAACCAATTCTGTTGTTAATTTCATTTTTTTTATGGATTATTAATATTTTTGTTGTTAATTATAGTATGTATTGTCTGATTATAGACGAATAATTTTCTAAAGCGAATAAGAAAACAAAAAAATTAGTGATTTTAATGGATTAATAATAAATAAATTTTGTTGTTAATCAGCATTTTTAAACAGATAAACAACGTATAAACTTAGTTACTAATTTACATTTTTTAATTAATTAAATACAAAACAAACTCGGTTGATAATTATCAATGAACACATTAGTGTTGTTATTTAATATTTTAATAAATTAATGATAAATAAATTTCACAGTTAATTAGTAATCTCAAAAAATTATCGACAAATAAATATTTCATTTTGTTGATAAATTATAAGCATATAAATTTTGTTGTTAATTAATGGGTATTTTAAAATAGATTAAGAACGAGACATTTTTACTAAAATAATATTATTATATTATATATACACGTACGTAGGATGAAATTATTTACTTAACTGAATTTCTCATGAAATTATTTACTTAATTGAACCTCTTTTACTTGTTGTATTTGGAATTTAGTTTCTCGTAACCAACTTTAAACTTACCACTTTTTTTAAATAAAAAATTAAATAAAATATATAATTAAAAATAAAAAAATTAATATTAAAAATAAAATTTTAATTTTAAAATTTAAATAATATTTATATAAAAAATAATATATTATTTAAATATATATTAAATTATTTAAATATATTTAAATAATTATTAAAAATATTAAATAATAATTTTTTATTATTATTTTTTATATATTTTTTATTATTTTTGAATAGAAAATTTAAAATTTATATATTTTTTTATTATATGAATTATTTAAGTTATAATTTTAGAAAAAAATTGAATAAATAAAAATTTAATTTAGATAATATATTAAAAAATTAAATATTATATTATAAAAATTTATGTAATAGTTTTTATTTGATAAATTATAAATATTATATTAAAAAATTCATGCTAAAATTAATTTTTTTAAATAATAAAGTAAAAATATTATTTAATTAGTTAAAAATTATTATTATTAATATAAAATAAACATAAAAATAAAAAATAATAAAAATTAACAGAATTTAATGTATAATATTAAAAATAACATAATTATTGATAATAAAAATTGAAAAATAATACCATTTTAGAAGTAATACCATTTTATTTTTTTAGGTTTGAAAGCACGATTTGTTCTTCAAATATGATGATTGGGAGATTTCAATCTCTCCGTGAATTTATTTTAAAAGTTTAAGAACTTTATCGGATAATCTTGGAGGAGTGATTAAGGATACAAACATGTATCTTTAATAAATTTGAAAATTACGGAAATTTAATTACTCATTTTTTAAACAGATAATATATTATTTATGAATACTGTACTCGATATACTTTTTTTTTTAAGAATCTATATTTTTATATTTAGATTTATATAAATATTTTTCTTTAATTATTTAAATTTAGACTTGCATCACAATTTATTTTCTAAGTTTATTTTTATTGACATTAATATTTTACTATACAATTTTATTTAGAATATAATTTAAGATAAAAGTTTATTTGTTTTTATATCATGAAGAACTATTTAAATTTTGTATATACTTATGTTTTTATTTACATTTGTAGAAGATTAAAAAATTATATTTTTGATTATTCTAATATTTTTATCATATGATTTTGTTTTAATAATTTTTTCATTTACGTTTATGTTTAAAGAATAAAATTTTAAATAACTGGCAAATTTATTTCAATTAAATACTCAACTGATAATGAGTAAGGTAACGGTAAGTTTTTTTAGATGAAGCAAAATAATGGATGACTTAGGTTACCTTGTTGTGTTCCCTAATAATGACAGACACAAAGAAAGTTCTGAAAGTGCTTTTGTACACAACTCAATATTTTTAAATTTAAATGTATTTATTTTTCATTAGTATGTTTTTATAAAATATTAAAAAATCATATTTTGTATGATATTATTCTATAGAGATTTTGTATTTTTAATAAAGGATTGAACATCTCAATATGGGATTGAATATTTGTAGATGATTTGTAATGTGAACGTTGTTTAACTAGTCAATACTCTGTAGGGTTCATACCTAAAGACATGCCAACTAATTTAATTTATGACATGCTACTTCATTTCAAACGTTAGACTTGCACTCATCGGTTGAACTAATTTCAACAGCAAAAGGTAGACATTAATGTGATTGTAAGTCAGAGAGAAGAGTTTGTAATTTGGTGAAGGTTAGCTCCCTCATTATTGCTGCCATTGTAGATTTGTAGTTAAGCAGGAAAATGATGTAGCAGTGTGTGAATATGTTGGTGTGACTTTGAATCTCCTAAGTGATCACTTTGAATCTCTATTTATTTCATGCTTTCATGTCATATGTTGCGTGTACAAAAAGTATAGTTTTGCACTGTTGCACGTCATTTAATTTGATCCTCATTATATGGCAAGTTGGAGTTTTGAATTTCATAGCAATTCTCCTCTTTTGTTGAACTGGAAGTGGTCTTGTTTCATTCTGTTCTTGGTATCTTCACACTGAATTTCATACACAGGTATATTTTTTTTTTCTCTTGGTTCCTCTAAATTTCAAATGTAAACACTTGCAGCTATTAACTTACACTGCTTGATCAAGGATTGGAAAATAAAGCATTTCTAATGGGGATGGTGCATTTTCTGCTACTCATAGTCAAGTCATCATAATTGTTTTTGGAACCTGATCCCTTGCTTTTTGTATCTTCCTCACAAATCTGCATAACATTTGTTTTTTGTGACATGCTTGCAATGATTGATTTATCTGTGAAAATCTGGTCTTTGATTAAGTTGAATGGAGTCATGTGATCCGTATGTATCGAACCTTTATACATGCTTCCAATGAGGGTTATTCTGGCATTATATGCTAGTTCTTTCATTTCTTTCTCCGCTAACTTGTTGTTTGTTTAATATTTTTGGTAATGTATCTAAGATGAATGATGTAATGTTTGCATGACTTCACTGGAGGAATCAGCAAGTTGTATTCGTTAAAATATTGGTGGTATGCTTGCTTTGAGTGTAGAATTTTTTGACCCATCTTCATCCCTTTTGAATGTCCTTTGTCCCGGTAAATGTCTCAATCTAGCTCCAAAGACAGAAGCACTTTTCAGTATTTGAAGATGAACTTTTAGAGTATGCAATGACCAGTTTGGTGGCAAAAACTATAAATCAACACTCATGATTTACAACATCATTTAAATTATGAGATTTCAACCTACTTTTAGCAACAATGTTTTTTCTTTATGAAGTACAAAAGAGAGTCAAACTTTAGCTTTTTCTCTTTTTTGAGTTTTTTTTTTTTTTTTTTGCTTGGATTCTCAATTGCAACCCTCCTTTTCCCCCCTCTTCCTTCTTGCTTGTTTTTTGGTAAAGGAATCTTCTTGCTTTTTCTGAAACACGTAAGAACCGATTTCATGTGGCAGTTTCTTTATTCTCAGTTAAAAGAGCACTTTAGTCCCCCATAAACTGAAGTCCACAGTGAAGCCCTTGCCTTTTTCTTTTGAGTTGAAAGTGTTTGGACGATACAGCGAATTTTGAAAGAATGAACTTTCTTAATTTATCTGAAAGAATTTACCAACCAAATTCTCACTTTAAAATTCAAGTTCTCTAGGAACAGAATTGACTCAACTTAACTTTATTTTTGCTCAATTTCTAAATCCAATCTGTAAACCAATAATTTTAACAGCTATTTCATGTTTAATTTCAGCATCACTTTCCAAGTGGCACATCATTGTAGTTAGAGTAAACTCATTCTTACTCAAATGACTCCATGTCTATGTACAGTAAAGTAGTTCATTATGACTTTCAACATTTTTATCCTTCTCAGTCATATATGATCAGCTAACACTTTACCATACATTTTCCAAAGCTGAACCAAGCAAGGATGAAGAGCAGCTAAGGTTAGAACTTGGAACTCCACTTTCCTCCGCTTCACACCAAACAGAGCCAATGAAGTTCCAATTCCATGCTGTTTCATTTGTTCTGCTATGCTTCACATCATTTGGCCTGATTTTAGCTGACTTGAACTCCGACAGACAAGCTCTCCTTGAGTTCTTTTCAAATGTTCCACATGCCCCAAGGCTAAATTGGAATGAGTCTACTCCAATTTGTACTTCTTGGGCTGGTGTGACTTGCAACCAAAATGAAACTAGTGTCATAAGCATCCACCTTCCAGGGGCAGGTTTCAAGGGCTCCATTCCAGAGAACAGCCTAGGAAAACTAGATTCTCTAAAAATTCTGAGCCTCCACTCCAATGGCCTTAGAGGAAACCTTCCTTCAGACATCCTCTCTATTCCTTCACTCCAATATGTAAACCTGCAGCAAAATAACTTCTCTGGTCTAATCCCTTCTTCTATCTCCCCTAAACTCGTAGCATTGGATATTTCTTATAACAATTTTTCTGGAAGTATCCCACATATTTTTCAGAATCTCAGTAGACTCACCTGGTTGTATCTCCAAAACAACTCTCTCTCTGGGGCTATCCCTGACATCAACCTTCCAAGCCTCAAGTATTTGAATTTGAGTTATAACAACTTGAATGGCTCAATTCCAAATTCCATCAACAATTATCCATACACTTCTTTTGCTGGGAACTCTCACTTGTGTGGACCACCTCTCAATAACTGTTCTGAAGCCTCCGTTCCATCTTCTTCTTCTTCCTCTCTTTCTCCTTCTCCTGTTTATCAACCACTCTCTCCAGCACCTGCTCCCCAATATAGAAGTGCTACTCCTTCAAAGAGTTACTTTGGCCTAGCTTCTATCATTGCACTAGCAATTGGGAGCTGTGCCTTCCTTTCTCTCCTAGTTTTGGTGATCTTTGTATGTTGTTTGAAGAGCAACAAGAGTCAAAGCAGTGGCATACTTACTGGAAAGGCACCTTGTGCTGGAAAGACTGAGGTTTCAAAGAGTTTTGGGAGTGGGGTTCAAGAGGTTGACAAGAACAGGTTGTTTTTCTTTGATGGTTGCTCTTACAGCTTTGATCTTGAAGATTTGTTAAAGGCTTCAGCTGAAGTTCTTGGAAAAGGGAGCTATGGAACAACATATAGGGCTGCTTTGGAGGATGGAACTACAGTGGTAGTTAAAAGGTTGAGGGAAGTTCTAGTTGGACAAAAGGAGTTTGAACAGCAGATGGAGATTGTAGGAAGAATTGGTAGGCACCCCAATGTCGTGCCCCTTCGAGCTTTTTACTTTTCCAAAGATGAGAAACTTCTAGTCTATGACTACATGCCTGGAGGCAGCTTGTTTTCCTTGTTGCATGGTACGTTTTATTTACATTGATAGATACATTGCCTCTTCCTGTTACCTAAATACATGCACTAATCTCTTTTATTAATAATGGACAAAACAAGGTTTCTTTCTTCACCATTCTTCAACTGCAATATATTTATCTAGATACTTGATCTGAGTAACCAAAAGGCAAAAGCCAAGCCGAAGTCAGTAATCATGCTAGTTATTAAAGGAGAAGTTGATCATTGAGTGGATGTCATGGAAAAAGTATATATTTTTGTATTTATTTCTACAGGAGAGTCTGAGTAATAATTAAACTAAGATAAATTAGCTTAAGAACCAATCAATATTGAAGATTGTGTAGCAGTAGTTTTTTGGATTAGGCAAGATAATGGACAAAATATGCTATCTTTGGTTTACCATTCAACAGCTGCATCATGTTATTTATGTAGCAGTAAGCAATTCATGCAACTAGCTTACATTTCTATTGTGAACTACATCAAAGCTATATATTTTCCTAATTCTTCAATCCTTCCTAAACAACAACAGGAAACAGAGGCATGGGAAGAGCTCCATTAGACTGGGATTCAAGAATGAAGATTGCACTTGGAGCTGCAAAGGGAATTGCTTCCATTCACACTGACCACATGGATTCAAAACTTACTCATGGCAACATCAAATCCTCCAATGTGCTCATAACCCAAGAACATGATGGCTGCATCACTGATGTAGGACTCACTCCAATGCTGACCACCCAATCAACCATGTCAAGGGCCAACGGCTACCGTGCTCCTGAAGTAACCGAGTACAGGAGGATCACTCAGAAGTCTGATGTTTACAGTTTTGGAGTGCTCCTTCTTGAAATGCTCACAGGCAAGGTCCCACTGGGATATCCTGGCTATGATGACATGGTTGATCTTCCAATGTGGGTGAGGTCTGTGGTTCGAGAGGAATGGACAGCTGAAGTTTTTGATGAGGAGCTGCTTAGAGGGCAGTATTTTGAAGAAGAAATGGTGCAGATGCTTCAGATTGCACTGGCATGTGTGGCAAAGGTGGCAGATAACAGGCCAAAAATGGATGAAACTGTTAGGAACATAGAGGAAATTAGACTTCCTGAATTGAAGAACCGTAACACATCATCTGACTCTGAATCTAATATACAAACTCCATGATTATTTTGTACACGTATGCTTACCCTGCCATGCACTTGTTATTTTCTGTATCACACAAGGAATAACCTTGCTGTGTTTCTAGATTATTCAAGTTATGATAACTGTATTGTACCATGGTATGTTCAGACGACATAATAGTAGTTTCTTATTCCACAAATGTAGTAAGAAACGTAGTTTCAAGTGAGTGATCATTGAAGAATTAAAAGTTTTAAAACCTTGCAGTTCAGTATCACTCATTTGGGTTTCTTTCATGATCTTTTATTGTCACATTATTCCAAAAGAAAAGATTGGAAATCTAAGAATTCCCATATCAGCAGGGTATGTGTCAAATGCCACGTTCCAAATGCACACAGTTTACAGCTACAGTTGAATTCGAACAAGATTTTGCTCATTAAATTTCTAGTAAAATTGATCTACGATAGGATTATAGAATTGGGATCTTATTTCCACATTTCAAGATAAGAATAGGTACTCAATTGATTAAGGAGCACACTCTTTAACAGAACTTTTACTATTAACTGCAATTCATTGAAAATTACAATTTTTGTTGGCCTCACTTCTTATTAAACAGGTTTTATTTCTCTTGAGTTTTTTGTTTTTAATAAACTTTAATCAATAAAAAATGTTTTCGAAAGTATTTTTCTTATTTTTTTTAGAAAGTGTGTTACTAGAAATGGAATCATTCATCATCTAGAAATGGAGTAAATGTCTGAAAATATTAAAGATTTTGATTATATTTTAATCCTTAAGAAATGGAAAATTTAATTTTATATTATCTAGAAATTGATGAAAATTATAGGCCTATAATGTATCCTTAAACAAATCAATTTGATTTTTCCCCTAACATAAGTACCTGTAGATGTGGATGTTTTTTTTACTCTGCATAGTTTACAACGCAATTAAATCTTCAAAACTTTGAGTGTGATGTTGATATTCTGAAGACCAATGTACTCGGAACTCCAAAGTAATTAAATTAAAGAAAATCCACAAATACAAACAATTCTTGTTCCTTACTAATCATTTACACTCTTATAAAAATACAACTTCATTAAATAGAAGAACAAAGAAAAAACTTAAGAAGCTTCCAAGTATCTTGAAGAGTATTTTAATCTGTTGTTTTGAATTGATCATTTAGTTTAATCACACTTTAATTACAAAATCAATTTTTAAGTCATCATGCTTTTCCTCCTTTGTTCTTTATGTTTGTAATCATTCTGTCCACCTTTCTATTACATCAAAATAATACATTTAAAAATAAAACCTTTAAAAAAGAGATAATTTTGTAAAAATAGTTTTAAAAGGATTGCGTAGAAAAATAAATTAATATATAGTGTGAGAAACTATGTCGACTTGTGAAAATAATTCAATAATACTTGTGGGTTGCTCATGTTATTTTTCAATATAAAAGTTGTACAATTATATATTTTATCAGATAATGAAATTATTTTAATTTAGTTAAGGAAAAATTGTTTAATTTAAAAATAACACTACGAATAATTATAAAAAATATGGAAATGTATATTTCTGTTCTTGTACTTTTCAAAAAATATATTTTTATCCTTATATTTTTAAATTGATAATTTGGTCGCAAAATTTAAAAAGTATATGATTTTATCCCATTTTTTATACTTAAATTTAGCATTTAATTATAATTTTTCATATTATCAGAGTTAATAAAAAGATTAAATATGATTTTAATAAATTTTTATATAAATTTAATCATTTTTATTATTATAAAACTGATAAAAAAATGAAATTTATATAACTTTTTAACTTTAAAAATTAATTTACTAAGTTTTGATACCAAAATCAATTTTACCAATGACAAATATATTTAACCCTAAAAAATATATCCCTTTAAATGATGACAGATAAGAACATTACAAGAAAAAATGCATAATCAGGAATTTTTTTCTACTCATAAAGGACATTATGGATACAACATAAAGAAAGAACATATTAAATATGGATCATGATTCTTCTTTAGATAAATGTTATTAATAGGTTTTTCTTAATACATCTTTAACTGAAATCTATGTTAGAGAATATGAATATATAATGTGGATTACTTTCTGTGAAGGTTTTTTTATGTTTTAATATTTAAAATATGGTTTAGACAAAGGAAAAAATATATATAAAAATTAAGATATTGTTGGTATATTTATTTTTTGTTTTTTTACATAAAATATTATTATAGTTCCTTCAAAATATTACGTTTTTTATCCTTTTAAAATATATTTTCTAAGCATAAAAACTAACCAATCTGTTAAAAAAATGTATTGAAAGAAATATGTTAAAATTGTATTGTTATCACTCTCATGCCTCCTAGTTCAAGGTACATCAATCTCCTTACATCTCCAAAGCATAGTTCAGAGCTGTACATTTTGTGTCAACATCTGTAACCGATAGAAAATTGAAAGGTTTTGTCTTGAAGGATACATGGATTGGCCCTGTAAACAATCACGTGTCAACTCACAAAGAAAAACATATTTGGAGATTACGTGCATGGATTTCATCAATTCATCTCCATGAATATAGCAGAATATCCAAAGGAAACCAAGGAATTAGAATCCCTTGTGAAGGAACAAAAAACGATAAAAGCAGGCACTAACATGAAAGACACCAGATAAAAAACAAAGCTATACATTTTTTTATTGTGGGTGAAGCCAGCTTAGGATGGAAACCAAGTGCAACTTAGCCATTAAGGAGGGGTTTTCAAGCTTCAACACAAAACATTGTGTGTTCTCAAATATCTATGCATTTTCCTTGAACCAGACGATATTTGAGACTCGATGTCACCTATGAAATTGTTCCAGCTTTAAGAAAGCAATGTCTTAATTGTCAAAATCCTAGAAGACAAGTGAACTTGTTTCATAAATGTATCCTATAAAACTGTGATTTTTCTACTCTTTTCTTCTTCTCACAATTTACCATCAGATAGCAACCTTTGTTAAGAGCCATGGCCACCAACCAAGGTGTCCTCTCAACACTTGACAAAACCAAGACACAAACCTACCACTACAAAGCAATTGTGATAGCCGGGATGGGGTTCTTCACTGATGCATATGATCTATTTTGCATCACTGCAGTTATTAAGCTCATAGGTCGGTTGTACTACTATGACCCCATTAGTCACAGTCCAGGGAAGCTTCCAAGGAATGTAAACAATGCAATAACAGGTGTTGCATTGTGTGGCACCCTTGCAGGGCAGCTCTTCTTTGGCTGGCTGGGTGACAAACTCGGTCGAAAAAGGGTTTATGGCCTAACACTTGCCACCATGGTGGGGTGTGCCTTGGCATCAGGGCTTTCTTTTGGATCCACAGCCAAAAGTGTGGTTGCTAGTCTTTGCTTCTTCAGGTTCTGGCTAGGATTTGGCATAGGAGGAGACTATCCTCTCTCAGCTGTTATAATGTCCGAATATGCCAATCAAAAGACCAGGGGAGCTTTTGTTGCTGCTGTTTTTGCTATGCAAGGGGTGGGAATATTGGTTGCTGGAGGTGTAGCCATGGTGGTCTCCAAACTGTTCCTATTAGCTTATCCAGCCAATGTTTTCGCATCTGATTCAGTGCAATCCACTCAGCCACAAGGAGACTTCGTTTGGAGAATAGTGCTCATGTTTGGTGCATTTCCTGCTGCCTTCACTTATTACTGGAGAATGAAAATGCCAGAAACTGCAAGGTATACTGCCTTAGTGGAAGGAGATCACAAGAAAGCTGTTGAAGATATGGCCAAAGTTCTTCAAAATGATATACCTTTAGAAGAATCAAATACCAGGGTTTCTGCCACAACTAGCCCCTCTTATGGATTCTTCTCTTCAAAGTTTCTTGAGAAGCATGGCCTTCACCTTCTAGGAACAACTAGCACCTGGTTCTTGTTGGATATTGCCTTCTACAGTCTTCAGCTAACGCAAAAAGATATTTACCCTGCAACTGGACTTGTATTCAGAGCTTCCCAAATGAATGCCATAGAGGAGGTGTTTCGGCTCTCCAAAGCAATGTTTGCAGTGGCACTGTTTACCACTGTCCCTGGATACTGGTGCACAGTGTACTTCATTGACAAAATTGGAAGGTACAAAATCCAACTTGGTGGATTTTTTGTGATGTCTGTTTGCATGTGGTTTTTGGGACAAAAATACGGAGAATATAGGGGACATGAATGCAACTCGCATGAAAAGTATGAGTATTGTGGCGGAAACCACACCATGTTTGTCATTCTTTTTGGAGTCACCCTTTTCTTTGCAAACTTTGGACCCAATGCCACAACATTTATTGTGCCAGCAGAGCTGTTCCCTGCCAGGTTCCGTTCAACATGCCATGGGATATCAGCAGCAGCTGGTAAAGCAGGAGCTATCATTGGTGCTTTTGTGGTGCAAAGCTATACAGATAATGCAGAAGACAAAATAAAAGGTATGAAGATAGCACTTATGATACTTTCAGTTGTCAATTTGCTAGGATTCTTCTGCACTTTCTTAGTACCAGAAACAAGAGGACGGTCACTTGAAGAAATCTCAGGGGAAGATAAAGGACTCCCTGGCAATATTGCTCAAGACAATGCAAACGAGACAACAACTGATACAGAAAAGGGAACAAAAAACTCTGATGTTGGCAAACTTCCAGAAACCTTAGTGGTCTAGCTCCTAGGCATAATATTTTAAAACCCAACCAGAAGATCATAAATAATAAGAGGAAGGAGCAAAAAGAATAATGTTTGTTTCAGTAAGTTATACTTGCACGTTTCTGTGTTCTGCTTGTCTTATAGTTTTCCCTTTACACTCTTGCCTGAGAATAAAGAATAATAATGTCTATGTGGTGTAATTGCTAGAATAGGAGCTTCTTCGTTATGCGCGCGAGTGTGTTAGCACCAGTAGAAGAACCAAAATAAATAACTTTTTGCTGCAATCTCTACTACTAGTGCTTCTGCTTTCTGTGTATTAAATTATTTTTCTTTTAATGTATATCTACTAAAAGTCCAGAAGAACTAAGAATTAATGCTTGCATCGTATCCTTACTTCCTTTAACTCTAGTTCCAGATGATATAGATCACAATCCTGCTATTCACAACGAAGACCATGTTAGATGAAAACTTGTGAATCTCAAAGTTTAATTTTAAACGTAGGAAATTTTTTAAATGAAGTATTGAAGTATCTTCAATTTTAACTTTTTCCCAATTTAAGGAACATCTATCAAGGTCCAACTACTTGTAGCAGATTCATAAAAAAGTGAAAGGCGGCACTCAGAAGGTTCACAAGCATTGAATTTGAAACAAAAACATGTCACTGATATCATGGTCGTATTGTATATTAGTATGTCATTGATATTGTTTCACATATTACACATGACACAGAATATTAGTATTACTTGCTTGTGTAACTACTAGAGAGTATAGGTAAGTTTATACAAGGAGCAATATCACAGATTCACATGGACATAATTTTCTAGGGCATCACAAATTACATCAATTGGCTGCTCTAATTGGACCTGTACTGTAGAAATCAGGCATTTCTATCATTACTCGATTGGAATACCAGTATATGAGAACTTCTTGAAGGTATTGTCATCCTTTTTGGGACTAGAAGCTGGAGAATCCACCAAAGGCATAGTAGTCCACCGCTCCTCGAAGTTAGCAACACAGTGCTTCCCAGCAACATTAGGGACAAAGCTTGGCCTAATTTCACGGGCTTCCAGTTTTTTCCAGTTAACTGACTTAAACCACTTGTGGCTTTTAATCTCCTCACTGCTTCTTAATCCACTGCCAAGGCGTTTGCTGACATCTTTCTGCAACAGCTGAAGAAGAAAGCTTTCATTATGATCCCGTAGTCAAACATATGGCAATTGTGAAGGAAATCTATAAAAAGATTGGTTCTATAAAAGAATATTTTGCTATCATACAAGTAATGGATTTTTTGAATCATACAGCAACAACAAAAGCCTTTTCCCTCAAGAGTGAGTATTTTTCAAAACCATATTGTTTAAAGGGGAAAAACTAAGGATTAGATCTAGTTGAAAATATGTACCCCTTTTAACAGTGAATGTGCTTCATTTGACAAAAATGCTGGGAGCTTGATTTTGTCTTTAATTATCTTCTGCTGGATCTTATGTCTATTTCCGCCCGCGAAAGGAGGCTGCAATTGGAGTAAACTGTTAGATAAAGTCCAGGGAAATTATTAAGTTACAATAACTCATTCGAACTCCAGCAAACTAAAGTATAAGCCATAATAAATACATCAAATGGCTTATGAGTCTCCAAAAATGTCGCAGACTAACACCTAATCGTTGTTGGGAAATAAGGTCGGATAAGATGGAATAATAATAATATACCAATGTGAGATCAATAAAAGACACGAATATTTGTTAACCCAGTTCGGATTAAATCCTACATCTGGGGGCGAACCAAGCCAGGAGAATGAACTAGAATAAGAGGATAAACCGAATGTTACAATTCACACAAGCCCGTATGAATACACTCTCTCTACTCTTTCTTCACACTTGGATTGGATACAAATGAGGTTACAAAATGAGGTATTTATAGCCAAACAAATCCTTCTTGAGAGGAAGTTGAGAGGAAGCTCCCTTCCTTTGACTAGGAAGTTGCAAGGAAGCTCCCTTCCTTTGACCAGGAAGTTGCAAGGAAGTAGCCTTCCTTTGACCAGGAAGTTGCAAGGAAGTAGTCTTCCTTTGACCAGGAACTTACGAGGAAGTTCCCTATCTTTGACCGATCTTTACACCTCAACAATCTCCCACTTGAAGATTGGTCAACCTGTTCATCTCTGCTCTTGGTTCTGCTAAGTCTGCCTGTTTTAATCATCAAGGCCAGTCAAAGCTACACACAGCATCAACTTTTCCAAAGTTACCGCCTTGGTCAACATGTCTGCAGGATTCCTATCTCCCAGAACCTTTTTCAGCTGCAGCATCTTCTTCTCTAGAAGTTGCTTGGATGAAATGATACTTAACCTCGATGTGCTTCGTTCGCGAGTGAAACGCGGGGTTCTTTGCCGGATGGATTGCACTCGGCTATCGGCTGTATAGAGCCACATCCTCTTGAGGTCTCCCAAGTTCATTCAAGAAGTTTTGCAGCCAAACGAGCTCCTTGGCTGCCTCCGTCATCGCCACGTACTCGGCTTCAGTTGTGGACAATGTGACTATCTTCTGCGGCTTTGAGATCCGGGATACGGCCGTCCTGCCGTAAGTGAATACGTACCCGATAGTACTCCTCCTCTTGTCAAGATCACTTCCTGCAAAATCGGCATCGACATACCCGAGACGGGGTAAGGGTACCCCTGCCAAATACTAATGCCGGTCCTTAGTACCCCTCGGGTACCTAAGGATCCACTTTACCGCCTCCCGGTGCATCACTCCGGGATTGCTCATGAACCGGCTGACTACTCCCACTTGCATGTGCTATGTCCGGCCGGGTGCGGACCATAGCGTACATTAGGCTCCCGATAGCCGAAGCATACGGCGTAACTCTCATCTTTTCTTTTTCGAGTCATCCTGGGGCGAATCCTTGTTGGACAACTTGAACTGGCTTCCCAATGGCACTCGAACCGACTTTGCAATATTCATATTAAATCTGCACAACACCTTCTCAATATAATCAAATTGAGAAAGCCAAAGTTTACCAGCATTTACGTTCCTCGTGATTTTCATGCCCGATGTCTGTCTCGCTTCTCCTAGATCCTTCATATCAAATCTCCTTGATAGGCTGATCTTTGAGCCTCTCGATCTCCTTGACATCGATCCTGCTATCGGCATGTCATCCACATATAGCGGTAAAATAATGAAAGAGTTACCGAACTTCTTCACATAGCAACAATGATCGGCATTACACCGGAGTATCCTATCTCCGGCATGAAATTATCGAATTTTCGGTACCACTGTCGAGGAGCCTGTTTCGGTCCGTACAAGCTCTTCTTTAGGCGACAGACCTGCTGATCATTTCCTCTATATCCCTCTGGTTGCACCATGTAAATTTCCTCCTCGAGATCCCCATGCGAAAGGCCGTCTTCACATCTAACTGTTGCAACTCCAAGTTTTCCGCCGCTACGATGCTTAACACTAAACGTATAGTGGTTAACTTAACAACAGGTGTAAAAACATCGGTAAAGTCAATACCGTATCTCTGTTGGAATCCCTTTACTACAAGTCCGGCCTTGTACCGTTTTGTTCCATCCGATTCCTCCTTGACTCGATAGACCCATCTGTTTTGAAGAGCCTTCTTTCCTTGTGGGAGATCACACAAATCCCATGTGTGGTTCTTCTTCAACGAGTTCATCTCGTCTTCCATCGCAAGCTCCCACTTGCTCTTGTGGGCATCTTTAACCGCCTCTGCATAATAGTCGGGTTCCCAGAATCGGATAAAAGTAGGTAATAAAGAGAAGGGAGTACCTATCAGGGCCCTTCTCATCCTCGGTTCTCGGCCCGGTGCCGGAGGCGTGCTTGCTCTCAACAATCGGTTCATCGATTCCGGTTCCGCCTCTTCTTACGTACGCTCGATCTCATCTATCCGAGCTCCCACTGTATCTGTCTGGTCTCATGATTCCGGTATTTGAAATATCGAGACCAACATACTCCTGCATGGTCTTGTCATCGTCCAGGTATTCCTTACGGTCCTTGTACATTATGCCTTCATTGAACACCACATTACGACTGCGAATAATTTTCCGATTTTGATCATCCCAAAATCTATACCCAAATTCGTCGAGTCCCATATCCAATGAATGTACATTTGACGGACTTAGCATCCGGCTTTGTCCGGTCGTCATTCAAAACGTAAGCCAAACAACCAAAGGTACGTAAGAAAAGAGATCAACTTTCTTACCACTCCGGACCTCTTCGGAATTTTGTTGTTCGGTGGGACAGAAGGCCCCGGTTGATCAAGAAAGCGGCCGTCTTGGCGCTTACTGCCCAAAACATCTTGGGCAGTCCACTCTTCAATCGCATGCATCTCGCACGCTCATTCGGTGTTCTGTTCATCCTCTCCGCAATGCCATTTTGTTGAGGTGTCCACTGGGACCGTCTTCGCATCCGGATCCCATGATCGGCGCAGTATTCTTTGATGGCTTCAACTGTTGTACTCGCCACCGTTGTCGGATCTGAGACATTTCACTTCCAGACCTGTCTCTTTCTCCACGAGTGCTCTCCATCTCCTGAAAGTATCAAAGGCTTCGGATTTTCTTTTCGGAAAGTACACCCATACCTTTCTTGTGCGGTCATCGACGAACGTCATGTAGTACATCGATCCTCCAAGAGATGTCACCGGTGCTTGGCCCCCATAAGTCGGTGTGCACTAGCTCCGGTTTTTCTGTCTTTGGAGCTCTTCGGTGGTTATGAAGCTCACTCGCTTACGCTTTCCAAGCACGCATTGCTCGCAGAGACCCACGTCCACTGACTCCAACTCGGGCAAAAGTCCTCTCGACTTTAGTACCTTCATTCCTTTTTCGCTCATGTGGCCCAAGCGACTGTGCCATAAGTGCGATTGTGAGACAACTCCTGCCAGGAGAATGTTTGAGCTGGATCTACTCGCCGTGTAAAGCGTTCCTGACTTCAGCCCTCTTGCCAAAGTCATAGCTCCTCGGCTGACCTTCCACTTTCCGTCTCCAAACATTGTGTGGAAGCCGTCATTGTCCAGCTGTCCAAGCTGAGATGAGATTCCTCTTCAGTCCTGGAATGTGTCTCACATCACGTAGGGTCCGAGCATGACCCATTTGCGGACTTGATACGCACATCTCCCTTCCTACAATTTTTAGGGATTTGTTGTCTGCAAGATATACCAAGCCAAAATCACCTGCGGTGTATGGCTCCATGATGTCTCTGCTACTGCATGAGTGAAATGAGGCCCACGAGTCCACGATCCGGTCATCGAGCGAGCTTCTCACACTCAACAAGAGTGCATCCGCCGTGTCCTCCGTCGCGGCATTGGCTGTCCGACCTTCTTTGTCTTTCCTTGGTGCCGGCATTCGCTTTTCATATGCCCAGGCTTCTCGCAGTTCCAACACACCATCTCTTTCTTGCCTTTATTCCTTCCCCTGGATTTTGACCTCCCACGGATTTTCCCTCGTGTTTCGGGTCTCCCTCCGGACTCTGTATGTAGGGCTGAGTCGAGACGACCCACCCGCCTGATTTCTGCGGGTCTCCTCGTTCAACATCATATCTCTTATGTTGTCGAACTTCATCTTCTCCTTGCCGGAAGAAGTGCTCACCGAAGTAACGGCCACGTCCCAGCTGTCCGGCAATGATGAGAGCAAGATTAGGGCTTTTACCTCATCATCAAACGAAATATCCACTGATGCCAACTGCGTAGTGAGTTGGTTGAAATCGTTGAGATGATCGGCCACTGACTTTCGCTCCTCCATTTGCAATTTGAACAGCTTTTTCATCAGCATCACCTTGTTTATTGCTGATGGTTTTTCATACATGTCGGCGAGTATCTGCAAGACCTCCTTCGTGCTTTTTGCTCCCTTCACATGGTAGGCGACGTTCGAGAGAGCGAAAGAATTATAGCACTCATCGCCTTCCGATCGAGCACCTTCCATTCATCATCGCTCATCTTCTCGGGTTTTTCCCCAAGAGGTGCGTAGAGGTCCTTCCCGTACAGGTAAGCCTCCATTTGCATTCGCCGAGAATCCAAAGTCGGAACCATTGAACCGTTCGACTTGAATCTTTCCCTCCATCTTATCTCCAACCTCCTGGCTCGATACCGAGTTGTTGGGAAATAAGGTCGGATAAGATGGAATAATAATAATACACCAATGTGAGATCAATAAAAGACACGAATATTTGTTAACCCGGTTCGGATTAAATCCTACATCCGGGGGCGAACCAAGCCAGGAGAATGAACTAGAATAAGAGGATAAACCGAATGTTACAATTCACACAAGCCCGTATGAATACACTCTCTCTACTCTTTCTTCACACTTGGATTGGATACAAATGAGGTTACAAAATGAGGTATTTATAGCCAAACAAATCCTTCTTGAGAGGAAGTTGAGAGGAAGCTCCCTTCCTTTGACCAGGAAGTTGCAAGGAAGTAGCCTTCCTTTGACCAGGA